TACGACATGATTTGCAAACCTCAGTATATTTCACACATAAGTAAATTTACTCACATGGGCAATTTTTGTCGTATGAACTGATTTACTCATATGCAAATTCTGCACAGTTGAGTAAATTTACACCTGATCAGGAACAGGTGCAAATTAACTTTTGCATACACTATGTTGCAAATTATAAGTTCGTGTGTGTAAATTTTGTCGTATGAACTCGCAGCAAATTTACTTATGTATGTATTTTGTTATGTTTATTGCATAGTGTTGCTTCGGTTGTGTAAGCATTGGTGTGTAAAATACCAGTCGGTAAACATGGTGGCTAGAAGACAAAAGTGTAAACAAGCAACCATTATCTCCTCCGAGATAATTTTTTTGAATTTGCAATAACTAGGGGGGGGGGGGGGGCATCTTGCACCCTTTCCGGAAAACCTTTGTTTATGTCTCTTAAAAAATATAGCCGTGGTCGCAAACACCTGCCCTGTAAGATCAATAAGTAGTGTCCTTATTAATTCGTCTCATTGGGAATGTTCCGCAGCTATAATAAGAACATGCATTTTATCAATTGCTAAGGCACCATTACCGTTTACCTCTTGATGAATATCATCTACCTTTCTCTATTTTCCTATTCACATATTTGTATCACTGTTAGTTTTCTTTATCCTTTTCATTCTCCTGGAAAATACATAATTATAATATTCAAGCAAATATTTATACTCCCCGCTTGAAAAGCGGGAGGGTATATAGTAATCGTTAATTCCGTCCGCCCGTCCGTCCTTCCGTCCGTCTGTTACGCTTTGGGGTACTCATCTCTTACCTGCAACTCCTCTTATACCACTGAATGAAATTTGATGAAACTTTCACAGAATCCTAATTACATATTGCCATTGTGCACCTCCTATTTAACTTTTTGATCCGACACATATTTTGGGTTTTCCAGCCACAGCAAAACATGGACTTTGCAATTATAACTATATGAAGGCGGGGGTATCATTTAGTGAGCTCATCGCTCACAGTACCTCTAGTTTATAATTGCCTCGCACACTTGTTGTACTGTATATTTCCCAACACCAAAAGATTCCAATCGTCCTATATTTCTGCTAAAGAGGTCAACCAGTAAAAAGTCATTAAGTTCGTTTTTTTTCGTACCAACAAATCAGTGGATCAGACTTCCCCCCTCTAGTTTCTTTGAGGAACATTCAAAAGTTAGTCTTATACCCAAACAGTAAGGAAATACTTTAAGTTTTTTTGTATAAAAATTCATAATTCTGAATCTGTCCATATCCTTCTTTTATATTAAAATATGGGGATTTACTAACAGTACTTAAATTTCGTCTGAACGCATAGCAAATTTACTTTTACTGACGTGTGTATATTAACTTATTTTTGCACACGTAAGCACATTTTCGTCGTATGAATGGGGTATTAGAAAAAATATGGTTCAGCTAATTTTCGGGTTTTTTTTGGTGAATTAGAAACAATTCAGTGCATCATTGATGTTTTATTTAATTTGACATTCTATTTTACTTACATATTCTAAATACATTTGAAAAAAAAGGTTACATATTATTTTCAAACCCTATTACAGGCAGCAGGGATTGCCGAAGCAACTGGGACAACATACTGCAAAGTTGTTTTTCTCTACGACAGAGACCTAGTTGATATCACCTTTGTGACAATTTATAACATTCATTTACTTTCGTTTGGTGGATTCCCGTTTTCATCTTACCGTAAACTATTTTTCTGTTGAGTATAAAAGATAAAAAACTATCCATATTTTGCAGTTATGCCGTAAAGAGCCTATATTTATTACATATAACAAGTAATATTATGACCGTGGAGTAGCAGTTTTGAATTTATTAGCTCAGTTGGACCAATTTTCCGTGAGCAACGATTGACATTTAACTTTATTCTTATCTTAATTTTTTCATATTACAATGTATTATATTCAGCAGAAATAATAGTTTAAGGTAAGATGAAAACGTGAAACCACAAAACGAAAGTAAATAAATGATATAAATAGTCAAAAATCTGATATCAATTAGATCTCTGTCATAGAGAAAGACAACTTTGCAGTATGCTGTCCCAGTTGCATCGGCAGTGTGTATTTGTTTGTACAAATTTAAATCTTTTTTTATCAAAAAAGAGACCAGGGTAAATTAAATAGAATTGTATTGTTGATTTAAATCTATAAATATCCATGCACACAAACCTATCACTCTATAACGCAATTATAAAATACTAAATGATTATTACAGGTAACCGCGTTTTAGGCAAGTCAAATGAATCATGTGTGCATTAAATGTTATCTTAACTGAATTCAAACATTATTTGTCAACCAACTGACGTCAACGGATACCACCTTTAAAGAAAATGTATATGTCAGAGTTTTTTACCTTTTATAATAGCATGTAAGTTATCAGGCGTGAAGGAATATTATAAATTCTGACACTTCGAGTGGTTCTGGTTTATACAAGAAAAGGGGTGCTCTGGAATAAGTAAAACTTATGCATTTTAAAATTTGCTGAGTGCTGAATATTTTAATTGAACTGGAATGAGAAAATAATGCGTCAGTGATTGAAACACAATTGTAACACCGTGCATATCATATTTAAGAAGTCTTTCTACATTTCGTATGTAGACCATCTCCGCAATTCCTTCTTAACAGAACAATGCACGGATCTTACCAAAATTCGTTAAGGAAAGGTTTCATAATCTGAATATGGCTTCATCTGTTTCAAATTTATCTGAGCTCTGGGAAGAGGATTGTGTCAAACAAGGATTAAATCAATCCTCCATTGACCTACTAGTTTCGTGTGGATATGAAAGTGCTGATGCCGTTTCCACACTAACAGAAAAAGATATTCAGGACTTGGGCTTGCCAATGGCACAGAAAACAATTTTGAGAAGATGGGTAATAAAGATCTTGCGTTCAAAAGGTGAGAGTGAAATCTCAGTAAACGCATTTACGGGGTGTTTCAATGAAACCCTTAGTGAACAAGACGAAGACAGGAGTAAGAAAAATATTACAAATGTACATCCTATTATACGGACAGAAAACTCACTCAGTTGTGAGTCCGTGCAAGGTAAGTAAAAATCTGTATAATATACATGTATTACTATAATCATGAAAGTCTTGATCCTAATTCTTGTGTTTGCAAAAAGTTAAATTTCCTTAATTTACAGCCTCTTGTATCTTGTCTGAGGATAGCAGTAACGATATGGAAGGAGAAACAGATAAATTAACGGATTATACTGCAAATCTTCCACCAATTATTAATAGGTAATTTCTTCAATGGATGCTATTCAAAACTTTAAAAAAAATTATGTGTAAATGAAAATAAAGTAGAATGAAAAAAAACTCGTTTCTTCATACAATTTAAAGATAAATATCAAAAAAGTTTTTCTCTTAATACATTAATGATAAATATCTTTTCAATAACCGTATAAATTTGTCCCTTTACATTCATGGTTGCAATTGTACTTTTTGCAGCAACATGAAATTGTGTTTTTCGGATTATGAAAAAGCTATTACAAATTCCACTGGGATAAAGGAACACTAATTTCAAATAAACGTAAAAAAAGATTAGCCAATCAGTAGCGTAGCATCGCTTCTGAAAGGGGAGGGGCAGCTCTAGAGAAAAACTCAACTAAAAAAGCTTGACAATGTCTGAAAAACTAGGTTGTCCATCTCCCGCTCCCTGATGCTACCTGCCTGTTAATACCTTAGAATTTCAGTTATTTAAAAGAAACTAGTTCTCATAACTGATTAAAAACAAAATTGTGCAATTCCTTAGGTTTCCGATTACGCCCGATCTCACTTGAAAGTTGGGTGACTAATAAAAAAAAGAGAGACAAAATCGAGGTGACTGTGATGAATGGGAATTGAAATAATTGTTAAACAATACAATGGGTTCATGAATATACATTGATCTGTATATTGAAAGTAAGTTTTGCTAATAGACTTACAAATAAGATGTTGATTTATAACTATGGTTATTTGATTAAAATATACATGTATAAGTAAAATGGCGCGCTTTACCATGTTTAAATATTCTAAATTCAATAAAGCTTTTAAAATCATTTGATCAATGCATTTCAGTGAGTAATTTTATATATACATTTTTTGTATTAAATACCAATAAACCTATTAAGCCTGTTTACATATTAATAAAATAACATATTAATACAATACATCAAAGTGACGTTGCTTTATTCCACGTGAGGAGGAAACGTCGAATTGTTTTTAAATAAAAAAATAATAGGGTCTGCATACCAGTATATTTAATATATATTTATTTTTTATCCTAAACTAAATAATAGAGTTTTGAAGTGTCGTGTTAAACAGTGTAAGCCTGTATATTAATTATCAGTAGTAAATGTAAAATATATAATTTTTCGAATAGTTTTGCTATCAGTAAATAAAAATATCAAGTCCCCTGTACTTTTGCGGGATATCATTTAGTACTTGTATATAAATATTATCTTTGGAAGAATAATATTATTTCTTTTGTGCATGTAATGAATGGTGATCAAGTGTCTGATTTATATATATTCATAATGATTTTAGTTTGGTAAAAGAAGAACTTATATCAACAGTGAAAGAGAGCTTGGATGAAAGGAAGCCATGCGGTATTTCACCGAAAGGTAGAGGTTGTTATATGAAACAAAAATTTCATTAAGGGTATACATTAGCAATTAAAACAATGAGAATATAATTTTACACACGGCTTAGAAATATCTTATCTCATCAATTATGCTAAATATTGATATATTTTTCATACATTGTACTTAGATGGGAACTCTATCGTCATGAAAAAACAAACAGATGTTAGAAACACATCGAACTGTATCATCGCCGACAATGTTCACATTGTACGAAACGAATTTTCAATTAAAGAAAAGGCGAAGGAAGAACAAACGCTGGCAAAGAACATTAAAGGTACTTATATCAGTATAAGTAGTTTTATTTATTCGGTATGCCTTTAAATGAAAGGTTGTATAGTCACCCGAGCGGCGCAGTGATTAGAGCGTCTGCTCTTGAGTAGCAGAGTAAGGAGTCAATCCTTACGTCGCGGATTCCAACATCCAATCCCACTGTGGGGCATGGAGACAGGTTCTTCGAATGAGACCATTTAAACTGAGATCCAGTGTAGCAGTCGGTCCTGTAACGACAAAGATTCCTCTCTGCTTAATGGCGCTATGTGCCGAATATTGATCAAAATTTTAATTCCTTACTGTTTAAAAATTCTCAAGAGAGACATTAAGCAACATCAAACAACTGAAAGATTGTCTTCTTATTATTAGACGATATGGTGATATCCCATTAAAACAATTTTTTTTAATTTTTGAAGGTAATGTAAATTATTTAGAAATAAGTTATTACAGTTTCGTATCCATTTTGATTTGTCTTTATAATTTTTTCCTTCATCTTGATATCAATAAAAAATACATATATATTGGTCACAGCACATATAGATTTCGTGAAAGATTGTGTAAATATCCACAGAACGAATGCCTATTTTAAATTGCATGCTGTGCAAATGTATAGTTGTTGAACATAAAAACATATTTGATAAAAATTGAGAATATGAAATGTAAAAAACAAAACAAATGGAAAATACATATTTACCTAGTGAATGTCCCTTTTACCAAATAACAATTAAGGGGTTTGGGGAGGTCTGCCAGGGGTTGACTTCATGCAGGTCTTTATCAAGAAAATTTGTGAAACATTAATGATGAAATATTCGGAAATAATGAACATTATTCAAGCTCAAATGTCCATTAACAGTACAAAATCATCTGCAGTGAAATACCTTCTTTTTTAAAGGTCTCTTTCCCACTTCTTTTCTTATTTTATTTTAAATACCAATTCGTTCTACAGATGTTTCGAAAACGACTCGTTCATGAAACTGTTAGGCTTGATAATGCATAATTGTTATAATCTACATCTTAGAGTGTATGTTAGCTCTGGTTTATATTTAACATTCTTTATATCCAACACACTAATTAGAATAAGCATTGTTATTTCAGGTATGACTAAAACAATTCTAAAAAAACAACAAAAGAATATATTAATGACAACTAGTGCTTTCAAATTAGCCGTAGAAATCCTTGAAGATTTGAGTTATGTCATCATATCAGGAAGACCGGGAGATGGTAAAACCTGTATTGGAAAAAAATTGTTATCAATGAAGGCTGAAATTGGCTATGAAACGTATTGTATAAACTCTGTCAATAGTTTTGAAAAAGTCCTGGATGCTTCAAAACACCAAATTTTCTTTATGGATGATGTATTTGGTACAGTGACATATGACAAAGTCAGGGTAAATGAATGGTTTCACTGTTTGGAAAACTTGCGATGTTTAATAGATGAGAATGATGGGAAAACGTTACTCATCTTTGCATCTAGGAATTATATAATTCGAGACATTATGCACCTTCCTGACAAAGGATCTTTTTTCAAAGTATTTGGAATCGTTGATTTGTCTAATGAACACTGCCTATCACTTGACGAAAAGGAACAAATGACAAAATTGTACATCGATGAATTTGGCTTAAATTTGTCCGACGATGAAATCGAATACATATGCTCCCTTGATACATCATATGGATTTCCATATGCCCTCAATCTCTTCAGTAAATCTTCAAAACTCCAACAGTTAGGAATAAGTTTCTTCACAAATCCAAGAGAAAGACTTCTTTCTGAAATTTCAGGGTTTGCTCGTGAAGATAAGATCAAATACTGCGCATTTGTAATGACTTCAATGATGGAGAACGTCAACATTTCTATGCTGGACGACACTTGTGAAAAAACAGATGAACAAAAGCTCGTACTTAGAGTTTCTGGGATATCTGATAACACCCCTTTCAAAGACATAATTCAAACCTTTACGAAATTGAAAGATATTTATTTTCAAACATATGACGGTGATTTGTTCACCTTCTCACACGAAACATACAAAGAAGCTACAATGGCCAGCATTGCAGAAACACACCTCAAACTTGTGCTAGAAAAGTTTGATTTTGATTTTATTGTGTCGTCAACGGCTACGAAAACTTCCGAACTAGACGATGTCAATTTTATAAGGATAATCCCCAGCTGTTATTTTAAAGTCTTAGCCCAAAGATTAATTGACGAATATGAAAAATTTAGTTATAATTTAGACAGTGTTATGAAACACCGATGCTGGGATGACATTTGTTTCATTACGGAATTTGATCAATTTGTGTCCAAACATCCACGCTTTGAAAGCATAATACATTTTATGCAGTCCAAAGGGACTTTGGAGAAAACAGTTTTTTTCTGGGCCATTTGGTGTAAAAAGGAGATGCTTGTATCCTATACCATGGGCAAATGTGCATCGAAGTCCTTAACACATGATCTGTCGTCCATACTAAAGGACACGCCAGATGCTTTAATTGCAGCATCATATAAAGGGTTGACTAAAGAGTGTTTGGAACTTTTAATTAAATATGGAGGTGACGTTAATGCAGAAAGTAGTTTCCAAACTTATGGAGAGGATGACGATGGAGATTATAAAGAAGAATTTTCGTATTATGAATTGACATTTGATGAATATTTTGGACACGAAATTCTAGTCAGGAAGATGACCCCTGTCATGGCCTCTATATACGGTAATCAACCACGTATTCTGCAATTTCTACTTTCAAATGGGGCACGAATGGGAGTTTTAGAAGACAATGGTAGGTCAATGATACATTTAGCTGTTATACAGAATAATTCCCACATTCTGAAACTGTTACTAGATAACCCATGTATTGAATTTTGTGCTTCGGACAACAAAGGTAAAACGCCTTATCATTATGCCAAAACTCTTAATGTTATCAAATTATTGTATGGATATCACCCTCATCTGCTAAAATTACGATGTAGTGGAGGTAATACAGCTTTGCATATATGGGCTCGACATTTTCCCTATTCAAGAACTAGTGTCATCAATAAGGAAATATGCAAATGGATTTGTTTGAAAGCCCCTCAACTATTAAACTGCGTAAATGAGAATGGCTTAACTGTTCTTCACTCTGTTGTAAAATCGGATAAGGGAGACAGCTTAGTCTCCGAAATGATAGAACTCTTTATCAGCTATGGAGCAAAAGTAAATATTTCAACAAATACAGGTAGAACTCCATTACATTCTGTAGCAAGATCCTCTAACATCCGATCGCAAACAGCAAGTATTCTCATAAAATATGGGATTCAAATAAATGCAAGAGATATGATGGGCCGCACTGCTCTTTTTTATTCTCTTTTCATGAACAATAAGGTTTTCAATGTATTGATGAAGGCTAAAGCTGATCCAAATATCAAAGACGAATATGGACTTCCTATTATACATAATATGCTAATAGATACAACGGATCCTCTTTTTCATGTAAGCAGTTACCAGTTCTCCCATGAATGTATATTTGATTTGGGAATAATAGTGCAACTTGTTGAGAATGGGCTAGACATTAATATAAAAAGTAAAAAACATGATGATACAATTCTGCATCTTCTTCTGTCTCTCAAACACAGATTACCGAGTTATGGAGAAGTAGAAACTATTTTGAAAATAGGAGCAAATCCGAATATAAAAAATAAAGACGGAAATTCACCAACTATGCTTGCTGCCTGCTTTGGTATTTCTTTTCTGCAACTTTTAATAAAATATGATGGAGATCTTTCATTGAAAAATTGTAATGGTGAAACTATTGCTCACATGGTTCTTTTAAAAACCTCTGAAGAAATGGCATTGTCAATTTTGAATTTCTTACACGAAATGCATGTTTCTATTCAGGAACCTGATAAGTATAGAAAAACGCCTTTGGATATAACCATTGAAAGACAATTCGGAAGCATTGTGCAATTTCTATTTCAGAAAGAGAACCCTTTACATGTACACCAAAACCTCCTTTTAAATGCTTTTGCATGTAAGCACTGTAGTCCTCACTTTATACTTGGTATAATCAAGGAATGGAATATCACTGACGAATTGTGGAAATCTAAAACAGAAGATGGAAAATCACTCCTAATGATAATATCGGAAAACTATCCATCAAAACGATTGGTTTCTTTAGCATTATCGAAAGGTTTACATATGGAAGATATTGACAAGGATAGGAAAAATGTTTGCCATTATTTAGTTTCTGGGAATCTGGATGAGGATGAACTTATTCAAAGAATAAAGGATATCATAGAAATATGTAAGCCCAAAATGCTATCGTTTCTTAATGATGAAGATGCTATAAAGACAGCGTTCAAGTGTAAAAAGTACAAACTTCTGAAATACATGCTTGGTATCGCAACCCCAATAACAAGAAAGTCTTTAATCGATTTAATACCTGAAATTATTCATTCAACAATGCATGGAAAATTATTAATAGAAATTGTAGAGATATTATCATGTCAAATGGATGTAAATAATTTCACTGATGCTTTTGTTGAGGCAGTAAAAAAAACGAGGGAAAATTTTGTTCTGTCGTTTTTGTTAAGTAAAGGATCACGTGTAAAATTGTTTTCTGAAGGAGAAAGCGTAAGCTATGTTTTCGGACTTCTTGGTTCAAAGTGCCCCGACTCAGTGCTAAAAACTGTGTTTAAATTTCTGATGAATAACCGCACTCTTTTAACAATAACAGACCCTCATGGACTAAATTGCTTGCAAGCTGCCATTGCATATGAACCAGCGAACATTACAACACAAAATAGGATGGATGTGATAACCTTCTTCATCGAGGAAAAAATAAATGTTAATCATCGGTCAAAGACTGGGGATACAGCTCTTCATCATTGCATTTCTTCCAATCGACCTTTTGATGAAAAGCACAAAATAATACAATTGCTGATCCAGAGTCCTGCTAATGTTGATGCTAAAAATGGTGAAGGGGAATCTGTTTTGACAAATGCATTAAAATCAACAGAAAAAATATTGTGCTCGACTGAATCTCTAGACACACTCATCAACTTTTCCTCTTATAATAAAAAGTACATTTTTACCAAATATCTGAAAGAGTATATTTTTAGCTACATAAATTTTATCCACCCATCGGAAAAAAATGAGAAAGTATTTTCCTTTTTAAACGTATTACTATTACAATTAAGAAAAAGCGAC